AAGCTTCGTTTAGGTTTTTTTTAACGGAATTTGAAAAAAAATTTATAAAAAAAACTATGTGAAAAGGAATAAGTGAAGATAATGAAAAAGATAAAGAAAAGAGAGACTAGTTAAAATTATGAAATATGAAAAAAGAATGAAGGTAGTTGAAAAAAGGAGTGACAATAGTTGAAAAGACAAGTTATGTTAGATTTTAGATTGAGAGGATTAAGAGGAAGGGTTATTTTAAATTTCAGATAGAAAGAATTAAGAGGATTGAGAGGATTCTAAAAAATTTAAATTTAAATTTAGGTTAAAATAATATTGATATTATCTTAATAAATTTCTTATCTTGAGATCTTTCGACTAATTTTGCAAGCCTTCTTTCATGTATACGTGATACTAAATAACATAAATATTTAATTTTAATAATGATTTTCTTTAATTAAATAGCAATTGAAAAGTTTTATTATTTTAACCTGATCTTTTTCAAAATCGGGTTTTGAATTATTCCCCAAAAACTTCTTCAACATGAGACCACCTTCCTTTCTCGTCCTCATCAGTGTACTTTTCAAATAACTAAAAAATTAAAATTATTAAATTATCATTGTAAATATAATTAAGATAAATATTATTATTCTTTCATTTACTAATATTTTACTTACTTTATAATCCTGACCATCCCTTTAAATTTTTCTCTTACCTGTAACTCATTAAATGCAATCGTAAACCTTTCTTATATTGATATCGCAATCTCATTTCAAAAAATCAACTTTGATCTTCTGTACCTTTTTCAGTAATCATCATTCCTTTCCTTTCTTAAGTCGATCAAAAGTTGCATTTCTTCATCAGACCATTCGATAGTAATGGGTATTTTTGAAATTATAAAATTGTTATTTAAAAAAAATTTAAAAATTGTCAATGTGAAAGATTGAATAATTACAGGAATAAAAATGCAATAAAACATTTCTTATATAAAATTTTATTGAAACATGTCAGTGTTCAATGTTTTCAATGAGTTAGCAAAATATCTAATTTTTATGCAAAAGTCAAATAAATGATCTAATTTTTTAGCAATTTCATAATTTACACAATTTTCGCAAATGAAATTTTCAGCAATTTCAAATTTGAATTATAGAAATTAAATAAATTAAATCAACGAATTAATCACCACTGATTCAATACTGATTAACTCTAAGTTCGATACTAATTAATCTGAGGTTCAACACTAATTAATCCTTATAGAAAATTTATTAAATAATTATAATTTCATTTACTATATAAGAACATTTTCAGTAAAATTAAGTCATGAGGCATAGTAAATCATATGATCTATAATATAATTTTACTGGAAATGCTCACATATGGTTAAAACCGCAGCTAAAAATTTAGCTAAAAAAATTATCCAGTTTGAAACTGGTTTATCACTATTGTATCGCAAGATAATGCTTGATGTTTATTGATTGAATTTATTTAATATAATCACATGAACAATAAATCTCATAAGGAGGGAAGGGATTCTATAGTAACATATAATGACATAATATCTATCACTTCCTTAAATCTTAATAATATTATAAATCTTTGTAAATCTTAGTGATATTATAAATCTTTGTGAATCTTCATGATAATTACAAATTTTTGTGAAATATAATCTTTGTAAATCTTAGTAATTACATAAAATTTTGAGCAATATAAATTATAAATTTAGAAAACAGAAATTAACTATGTAAATTAAAAAAGTTAACACTTGAATATCTTATCTAATTATTATAATATATATATTAACAATATGGGAGCTTTACAATAGAAAGAGAGAAAATTCTAAAAAAATTTTTTTTGGAGTTAATGTTAAATTTGAACTTATTTTATTAAAAAAAACATAATTAGCTTAGAAAGTAAAATTTTAATTTTTTTAGAGTTTCTTCCTTTTCTACTGCAAAACTCTCATATACTGTAAGATCAACAATTTTTTCAAAAATTTTGCTATTATTTTATTATTAAAAGATAATTAAATAATAGTATTATTCATTTCTAATCTGTATTTATTCCTGTTCTATTAATCAAAATATTTACTGAATTTTAATTGGTTAATTGAGAGAATTAGAATTAAAAATAATGGAATTGCAAATTTTTGAATCCCATTCTTTCTGTTGAACAAATGTAGTAATCTAGCTAATTAAAAATTATATATCACAAACTAGAATAAAAATTCCTAATTAAAAGTGAATATTTAATTCAATTGTTTCTGAATTTTCATTAGCTGATGATATTTATAAAAATAGAAATAGAAATATCATAGATAAAAAATAAATAAAGCTACAATCAACTCTCTCTAAATGTATTTTCTCTAAATGTATACATTACATAATTTTCTCTAAATATACATACTTATTCAATCCCAAGTATGCTATCATAATTTCTAAATACACTTCCTTTCTAAGTACACATTTTCTCAAATTTTTATTATAGTCTTGAAGGGATGTATTTAGAAAGAGTTGACTAAATATAGATTATAATATAACTTCAAAATATTTTAAACAAAAAAAAATAGTTTATTTCTAATTTTAAAAAATTCAAGATTATCTATAATAATATTTAAATAAATTTATTTATAATTTAATTATTAAATAAATAAAATAAATTATAAACTTATTATTTAAATTAAATGATAAATATAATAAGATTTTAATATATAATATATTTTTAAAAGTTATTGATAATTCTCAAATATTTATATTTTATTATTAATGATTTTTTATTTATATTAAATTTATCATAATTTATAATATATATTTATTAATTCAAAAAATAAATTTAAATCATGAATTCTAATAGGATTTATAGGTAAAAAAAAAAAAATAATATAATTAAATATTAATCAAAAATTATAATAGAAAAATATAAAAATTCTAATAAAAGTTATTTTTAATAATATAAATGTAATTTTATCAGAATAAGGTATCTTAATAGTTTAGATATAATTTTATTAAAAAAAAAAACATCTCTTTTATTTAGATTTAACTTTATTAAAAAAAAATATCAGTTTAAATATAATTTTTATTAGTATCTTTTTTAATAAAAATGATATTTAATATTTCAAATATAATTTTTTAGAAAAATTGGATTTTGATAATTTGCAATTTTACAAACATCAGCCAGCTTTTTATTAAAGAGAAATGTATTTAAAATATTAAACTTTAAAGAAAATGCTTTTAAAATGTTAAAATGCTATTAAAAGTATATTTTTTAAAAAAATGCTTATAGAGCATTTTTTTTAAAAAAATATATTATTATAGTATTAACTTTGAAAAAAATTATATTCAAAACTTTAAATTCAAAAATATATACTAATAGTATTTTTCTTCAAAATTAACACTTTAGTAACATTTTAAAATTAATACTTTAATAATATTTTTCTTTAAATTTTAATACTTCACAGTATTTTTATAAAATTAATATTTTAGTAGTATTTTTTAAAAAATTAACATTCTGATAACATTTTCTTTAAAATCTTTAAAGTTTATATTCTAATAACATTTTTTTTAATATTATTCAGAAAGTATTTTTTTTTGAATAAAATGGAAGCTTTGTAATAAAAAGTGAGGAAACTCTAAAAAAATTAAAATTTTACTTTTTAAGCTAATTATGATTTTTTTAGTAAAATAAGTTCAGATTTAACATTAACTCAAAAAAAATTTTTTTAAGTTTCCTTCTTTTTTACTGTAAAGCTTTCAAATGCTCTAGTAGCATTTTTTTTTAATAAAAAGACTTAGGTATTATCTTTACTTTGAATTTTATAAATCTGATAGCATTTTTTTTTTAAAGTATAATACTTTAGTAATATTATTCTTTGAAATTAATATTTTAAAGCATTTTCTTCAAAAATATCACTTTAAATTATTCTTTTTATTTAATTTTACTCTTAAATTAACTTCAAATTCATAATAAAAAATATAATAATTAATGAGATTTTAAATATTTTAAATATTTATAATATCAAGAAATTGTATTTTTCAAAATAACATGTTTAATAAAATCTTATAATTTCAAAAAAACAATTTTTAAAATATAATAATTTGAAAATATAATTATTTTAGGGTTTTGAATTTCTGATTTTATAGATCCCCTTTTAATTTTTACTATATTTAGCTATTAAAAATTTATAGCAGAATTAACTAGCAAATTTTAATAATTATCATTATAAAGATATATTTATAAAAGAAATTATTTTTATAATTAATATATAAAAATATTAATAAAACTATTTGCAATTTTTATTTACTAATTTTAAAAAAAGAATGATTAATTAAATTACAAATTCATTAAGATAAAATATAAATGATAAATATAAATTTTCAATATTATATGACAAAACTATTAATATCTTGATATTCAAAAAAAAAATAAAAATATAAAGCTAAATTTTTAGTAAATAAGATATTTTACAATAAAAAGAAAACCACCAAAATTTTACTTTATGTTAAAATGCTGTTATAGTCAAACTTTCAAAGTACTATCATTTTTAAATAAATTTAATTTTGGCTAAAAATAATCTTTTATTTATAAATATGATCTTTATTTGTAGAAAACTATGTTAATTAAGTCTAATTCAGGAAAATCTGCCTGATAATTAAAATATTTGTGATGCTAGATTAATTGTATATCTTTTAATTAATTTGGTTAAGTTTAAATTTTAAAATATCTTGTCTTGTGAATAAACAAAGCAAAATCTAGATTCAAAGCTATGCTTTTTTATAAAATTTATTTTTCACCTTTTTCACAAATATTATAATATATTAAATTGTTATATAATATGAATATTATTTAATAAGATTATTTTATGATTATTATTTTTATATGGAAAATAATAAATATATTTATATATAATAATAATATTTTATTATAAAAATGTTATTTATTATAAAATGATTTATATTATAACACAACATAGAAACATAAACCATTTTTATTTTTGTATTTTTATGTTAATATTATTGGTATAATAGTTATTTCATAAAATGCGAGATGTATTTCAATTGATTGATGATGATTACATAAGTAAGCTTAATGAAAAGTTGTGATGAAAATCTAAAAAAGACAAGAATTATCAGGCAGCATTTATAATCTTTCCAAAATTTTTTAGAAGAAGATTCTGCAGGATTTGTTTACTTAATCAAGAGATATTCTGCAAAGAGAAAACTCAAAGGAGTCAGATTGATTTTATTATATTCCAAAAGTCTAATATCATGATTGTAAAAAAAATAAAAATTTAAAGCTTAAAGTAATGAAATATTGTATTGCAATGGAATAAATACTAAATTTTCTAGTTAGTGAATTAAAATAAAAGGTCTTGTCTATATATAATGAGAGATTACTTGAATAATAATTTCCAGAAATCTAAAAATAAGTCATTTTTTGATTATTTTGATATAAAAAATTAATACATTTTTTTTTTTTTGTAATAGTAAAATAACAAATTATCAGAAAAAGACTAATACAAGAATAAAAAATTTTTTTTTATATAAGTAAATCTATAAAAAGATTTTGGTTCTTAGAATAAGATAAAAAAAATTTTTTATATAAAATTAAATTTTATTTTAGTAATTTAACTTATTGATGAATTTACTTTAATAATATAATATTTTAATATAAAAAAGCAATGACTTCTACGACTTCTTCTAACATTTTTTCAAAAAAAAAATATAAATAAAAGTTAAACATAAAAAAAAAAATCTTAAAGAAATACTAATATATATATATATAGGAGCTTTGCAGTAAAAAGGAAGGAAACTCAAAAAAAAATTAAAATTTTACTTTTTAAGCTAATTATAATTTTTTTAGTAAAATAAGTCCAGATTTAATATTAACTTAAAAAAAATTTTTTAGAGTTTTCTCCTTTTCTATTGCAAAGCTTCTATATATATATTTTTATTATGTCTATCTTTAATCTAAAAGTATATTTATTTTTTTATAAGAAAAAATTAGATATATTTAATACTTATTTATTTTTGTTTATGAACTGATGATCAAATTAAGGAATTTATCCAAGATGAAAGAAAAAATTATAGTAAACTATATGTAGAATTAAATCATTGTATTCCTAAATTTTTTTCCAAACAAATATGTCATAAGTAAATTGTCAATATTTTGCTAAGAATTTTTTTTTCTAGAAATTTATTCATGATTTTTTATGTTTTTTTTTAATCATAAATTAGGTAGAACTACAAACTTAACCCTTATCATATGTAAATTTATGTTTAGATTGCTCTTTTTTTTATTAAAAGAATAAGATTATAAGTTTTTTCTTTTTGATCAATAACAGATGATCCTTTCATGTAAGAAGAAAAGAAATTCATTTATAAATAGGAAAAAAATAATAAAAAAGCTTTTGACAAAGTTAAATGGTCTTATTACTAAAGAGCAATAGAGAAAAAATTCAATAAAATTTATGCTGTCAATAGAATTTAAGGAATGTGGCTTATACATTTTAGACACAGAAAACGTCATATCAAAACATATAATTTTCCTAGCATTAGTATTATTAACTTTTCTAATATCTATAATTATTCACATGTCAAACAATTTGATACTGGTACTACCAATATTGTCTCTAATGTCTTGCTTTTTCGATTTTGTTCTTATTTACCACTTATTCTTAATTTTCAACCAGAAATGAATATTTCAAAAAATGATGCCATTGTTTTAAACAGGTTAGAAATTTATTATCATTTAGTTTTAAGTAAATATATATTTAAATTCATAAATATTATAAATATAATATAATATATTTTTAAATAATATAATTTGAAATTCTTAATTTGACACTTAATATAAGTAGGTTTAAATTTACATAAAGTTTGAAAAAATGTATTTTTAAAATAGCTTATAGTTTTTTACAAGAGTATTTTTAGAAAAAAATGTTAATGAAATAAAAGCATACTATAATAGTATACAACTAATTATTGTGTAAAAAATATCGAATCAAAATATTAATTTAAAGACTATAAAAAATTGTATCTTATCATCAAGAAGTAGCAAAAGAAATAGTTCAAACTCAAATAAATATTTTATAAATCAATTATATAAATCAATTAAAAGTTTAAAATGATAAAAAAGATTAATAAATCAGTAATTGGTAATTAGGGTTGGAAAAATCCTTAAAAGTTCTAATTGATCCTATTAATTTTAAAAAAAATTATTAGTAATTTTTTTAAATATTAAATTTTTTAATTAATTTTACTTATTAAAATAATTTTAAATTTCTTTTTAAAATTTAAAAAATCTTTAAAATATTAGATTTAGGATAGGATCAGATCCGAAATTAAGTATATTCTAATTTTTAAAGAATTTGTTTATTTTAAATTAATAAAAAAATTTATCTAATATAATAATTAAAAGATAAATTTATTATTAACAAATTAAATTAATATATAAATAAAAATTATTTTTAAATTTATAAAGACCAATTAGGACTTTTTAGAACTTTACCAATCCTATTGGTAATGCCAAAATCATATTTAAAATATAAAAATAGGAATATAATATAATATAAAAGTCATTAATTTCTTATTAAAACTAGGAAATGAAATGGAAACCTAAAGAATATTTTAAAAACAAATTAAATTATTGAACAGATAAATGCGCGTGACCGATTTTTTTATAGTGCATACTAAATTATACTCCCCCTTAAATGTCAATAGTCACGTGGAATAATTCAATGGTGATAAATAGCCAACTCCTTTCAAATATTATTTATAATAAAAATGATCCGAAATTCGATTTTCGGCATTAATATCATCCGTAAAATTAGTGTTGGGTTACCCGAATATTTTTACAAATTAATTGAACACTCAGGTGGGGGTTCGAGTTTATGAAATCTGACCTGACCAGACCATTTCGGAACACTATAATAGACCATTTAACAAAAAAAGGGAATTATTTAACATGTATAAAGACTTTATTCTTCATCCCTGCATAGAATACTACATTAATTTAATGTGTGCGCTCTCTTTTATCTCTTCAAACCCAATATTAGTAAACAAGTTAAGAAGTTAATTGTTAAAAATTTCTTTTCTTGATGAATTCAAGATGATAAATAGTTTTTAAGTTTAAAATAAATAAAGTAGTAAGCTTAAGAAAAAAAAAAAAAAAAAGAACTTCTTTCCCAATATATTCTCTATTAAAATTTAATTCAAGCTATTTGGCGTAAATTTTGTAAATATCATTTAATGTTTGCGAGTGTCATGTGAGTAATTTCTAAAAAGATAGGCGTTTTCATGCATTCAAAATATTGATACTTCTAATTTTGTCATTATTGATTTTATTGATTTGCTTTTTTTTGGAAACAATTACTTACTGTATGTTAAGAAATTCGATCTACTTTGATTTTTTTTTTAAAAAACAAAAGGTTAAAAAATTAAAAAAGTGGAAAGATAGTTACTTTTCATATAAAAAAGTAAAGTGTGTAATAATTTGATCATCACTTTAATTAATGCTGCTGCGGACATTAATTTTAATAATAATAATTAGCTTATTTTGCTACGCATTTTAACAAAATAAAATTTATTTAACTTTTACGAAAGAAAAAGTTAAACGATTATAAAAAATTAATTCTGCGTCACAATGAGAAGTTTTAATAAAGTATTTCAAATTATTACCAAAGAAATAACCCAAGCTATTAACAATCACTTCGAAAAATACTAAAAATATCATAAAAACTTATTTGTAATTTTTTTTAATATTAAATGAAATTTTTGGTCTTGATATAGAAACTAGAAGTATCATTTATTTAAACAAGGATCTGAATTAAATAATAAAACTCTCGCGTCTTAAACTTTAGATAATAAAATAGTCTTCAACGATTTGAAAAAGTTTTAGAATATCTATTTAATCAATAAAATGAAATTAAAACATTAAAAAAGTATTGAATCCATTTATAGTTCACCCCAAACTTGATTAATTAAAGTTAATATCCGCTACTTCTATGAAACATCGGGTATAAAATGTTTTGCGCGACATTGATTTCATACGATATGTTTATGTGGATTTTTATGTCTATAATTAAAGCCTGATTTTGATAACGCTTAATAATATTTTTTCTGCGTGACACATTTATTTCGATACGATTCGTACATGAACTTTTTCCATTCATTCCTTATGCGGTATTTTAATAATATCACATCATTAACATCTATTTATTAATATTTTATATTTTATATATATATACAGTATATATTATTCCAAAATAATCTTTCTTTTTAGACTTATTTATCAAATCCAGCTATTTCCGTGAAAGATTATGTGATCAAATTATAAATGCATCCTTTCAAAATAAACTTTAAATAATTCACTTATTAAGCTGCTATAATTGTTAACAAAA